TAAGTGAGCAGCCTGGAAGGAACTATTTTCTCTTTTTATGACTGTAAAATCCCAGGACTGAATTGTTTCAAATACAGGTGGAGGTAGAAAGGGCAGTTTTTATTAGAAAATTAGTACCCCACCAAAAAAAAAATCATCAGAATTCAGGGAGGTTATTATATCTGAGTTAATAAATGCCAAAACTGAGTCTTGAAATGGTTCATTTTTCATTATGTAGTCTGATTATTGTTGATTGGTTTTTCATTGCTGAATTAATGATGATAACCTTTTTGAGTGACTAGAAATAAAATAAATTTCATAGATAGTTCATAGTCTAACTCTGACTGTACTAAGTTTGAGTGCCTCATGGACTTCATGATAGGGCAGTTGGCTACTGGCTTCCTGTTTAAGGTCTTTGTTTTTCATAAGTTCAGGTTAGATGAGAGCCATTGATTTATTCCTTGTCTTTAGACTGGATAGATTCCTGCATAAATGCTAGGGAGAGAAGCCCTTCTTTGACGCTTTCTCAATCTTAATGAGAGCAATGACCATCTTTACAAGGCATAGTAACTTTAATGGAGAATTGAAATCAAGACCTTAGGAAAGACCCATCAGCAGAAGAGTTTGAAATTTCCTTTTCTCCGGAAACATACCTGACTAAGGCTAAAGTTCAGGGGGCATTGGACTCTAAAGTTTTTTTGACCCCTAAGAAGTATGGGAGCATAAATATAATTGCATTTGTTTTTTTTTGTTTTTTACAATTGTACTTGTTATCTTAAAATGTAACCCTATGGTAAATACTAAAGAACAGTTTGAATAGAATTGTTTTAGTTGGCATGATAAGTAGTTCAAAGTGTTAAATATTACATCATTCTGAAGTTTTGAATGAATACTTTTCAAAATTTTTTATTTCAAATTTATCTTAAGTATACATAGCATAAAATTTACCATCCTAACTTTTTAGGTGTACAATTCACTAGTGTTAAGTAGATCCACTTTATTATTCAACGAGTCTCCAAAACTTCGTCATTACACAAAACTGGAAGTCTGTGCCCATGAACCAACTCCCTACTTCCCCTCCCCCAGTCCTGGCAGCCGCGTTCTACATTGTGTTTATATGAAGCTGACTACTTGAGAAAGCTTGGATAAGTAGAATCACCACAGCATTTGGCTTTTTGTGGCCGGCGTACTACACTTAGCGTTATGTTCTCAAAGTTCTCCACTCTAGGAGGGCCGGTTTGCTTCTTGTTCACCCACTGCTGAGTACATGTGGCCCTTTGGAGGAAGGAGCTTTTCATGGAAGTGTCTTCAGTTAGTGCTCCATCTCGGCCAGCCCCAAACTTTGATTTCTGCTCAGGAGAGCATTCAAATTCAAATTCCTGGGGCACCTGGGTGGCTCAGTCGGTTGAGCGTCCGACTTTGGCTCAGGTAATGATCTCCTAGTCAATGAGTTCGAGCCCCACATCAAGCTCTGTGCTGACAGCTCAGAGCCTGGGGTCTGCTTCAGATTCTGTGTCTCCCCTTCTCTGCCCCTCTAGGGCATACTTTTTTAGGATACTAGGTTGTAGGATGGATAATGAGACGATGAGACAACTCTCTTATTTCTCTATGCAGCTGGCCACCGGCAGGTTGTTGAGAACTGAGCTCTTAGTTCCTGGGAGAGCTGTTCGTGGAGGAGCACAGAGGGCGGGTACCAAGTCCAGGACAAAGCAGTCATAAAGAACGTGCGTGACGTGCTAGAGGAAGCAGCTTGTTGTGGTAAAAAAGGCATCAGGACATCAGTGTCAAAAGCGTGTCTAACTGTCCCTCCCTCCTCCTCTAGTCAGTGCTGTGGCCTTGAACAAACCATGTAATCTTCCTGGGCAACAGTCAGGTGTTCTTTTTTCTTGACCTTGGCTGTCCTGTGAGGCTGTGATTGTGAGAGGGTCGGTTTTTCTGGCCGCAGCAGTCAGGCAGTGGGAGGACCGAGAGGAGGAGGCTGCAGTAGTGCCCAGGAGGAGGGAGCGACCACTTGATGGGTTGTCTGGAACCCATAGCATCCACTCTGGTTCCACTGCACTCACAATTATCCAGCAATTTTGGTCCTAGAAGCAGCTTTTCCTTAGTCTCATCCCCTCATTTTGCAGATGAGCAAACAGAGATTTTCTTGCATTTAAACAGTAGTAGTGCTGCTCTGGCCTCACATGCCATGTTTTAGTAAAAGCAAACACAAAAACCAAACCGGTGAAACAGAGCAAGGCTTTGGTCAGTGTGGATTTGGGGGAGTTTACTCTGAATTCCTCAGGCTACTACCTGAGCCCTGGAGAAAGACATTAGATAGTGAGCCAGACCCTGTTGGCTGACACAGGCCTTGGGACAGTCTGATCAGAGATCAGCAGAGGTCCATTCAGCTGGCAAGTCAGGGGGCCTGACTCTGTGGAGGAGGGGTGGGTGAGTAGGCCCCTGATGATGGTGCTCCTTCGTGGGCAGGGGCCTGCTCGGGTACCACAGGCTCCTGGAGACACTACTGTTTTCTCCCATCGCCCTTGCCCGGACCTGACTTTGCCTGCCGATTCCCAGGCCAGCCCACCCTCAGCTACAGACAGGCCTCTCCACTCTTGCCTTGCTCCGCAGAGGACCAGCTCAAACTGTCCGGCCCCCCAGATCATGCTCTGTATCTGCATCTGTGCCCACAGGCATTTTAGCCTGCAGCCACCATACCATCAAGCAGCCTCAGAACAGCAGAGCCTTACAGATCATCCTTTGTGTTATTAAAGGAATTTAAATGAAACGTATTTTTCAGCCTACTGAGAATTAAGTATCATACTTTTCTTTTTAAATTACCTCTATAATTTTCTTTTTAAATTACCCTTATAAAACTAGGTGACAGTTAAATGAAAAGCATGTGTTGCACTTGGTATTTTTCTTCTTACTAAGCTTACAAACCTGTTGGCTTAAAGATAACCGGGAAGGATGGTCCTGGACCTGAAGCTTTGTCCTTCTAGCTTGGCCCTCAGATCCTGGATTTAAATTGCTTTTCTGTCCACAAAGATCATCCCCTTTTCCTGACTCCACTGGGATAGGGGAGCCTGAGGGTCAGGAACGGGCAGGGACAAAGCTCTGTTGGGAAGATTCGGTGAAAGTAATTTCTCTTCAGTATTGATACTAAAAGTGTGCAGTTTCAGATGTGCCCATGTTGCGACTGGGCCCTTGAATGGTAATTCTTGTCATCATTGGGGTGTTTTCTGTTGAAGGGACCCAGGATCTCTGTTTCCTGCCCCCCTCCCACCATGGGTTTACCTTTTCTCTTTTTGGTGGTACCAGTTGCCAGCATTTTGGATGTTAATATTTGGCAGACTTAAATTTAGGAGTTCTTCAAATTAAAGAAACAAGTGAGCAACATAATGTTGATTGTCGATGGTAGATTACTTGTATGAGTGTATTACATTGGGTTGCATACAATCATAATAAACGTGTAGGGTTTTAGATTTGGAAAGAACTCTTGATTCTCCATTTTACAGATGAAAATTCTGAGAACCAGAGAAGTTTAGGCTTGTTCGGGGTCCCACAGAGTGAGCTGGAAAAGGAACAAGTACCAGAAGCCCTATTGGGTAGCTCCCAAGGCCACTCTTCCACTCCCCATGACGCTGCTCTTATACTGGTGGTCTCCCACTGCTCCCCACCCCCCATCCCCCACCCACACCCTTGGAGGTAGAGGACAGACCCATGTGGCAGGACACACCATGCTCATCTTCACACTTTTTCCCTTCTGTCTAATCATGCCCTTTTGTCATAACCTGCCCATCTGTTTATTATTTTCTTTTTTAAATTTTAGTATGCTCCATACCCAACATGAGCTTGAACTCATGGTCCTGAGATTAGGAGTTGGATAGCTCTACCAACTGAGCCAGCCAGGCACCTCTCCCTGACCCATCAGTTTAAAAAGGCTGAGCAGGTGTCCTGCTTCCCACAGTGGTCTCAGCCTCCTCAGAATACCTGAAGTTCATTCTTCAAGAGTGTTCTTGCTCCTTTGACAGGGTCTCTTTCCAGATTGTGGTGTTAATTTCCACTTTGTAGGGTCTGTCATGTTGTGTGGTGTCCAGTAATTGGGCCTTTAGTGAATGGGGAGAGAGGTAATGTACTAGATCTCACAGAGTCGGCTTGGTATCTTTTGATTTCACTGCCCCAGGGTCTGTCTTCTCCCCCAGCTGCCTGCTAAGCTCCAGAAGAGCAGAAAGCATGGCTTCCATGTTTCTCACCATAGCCCTTAGAGTTCTTGGTTGGTGGTGGGTTACAACATTGTTACTTAATTTTACTGCCCTCTGAATCATGGATTCGGTTTAAAATATGTTTCCTTTTTCCTGAAGCCCCAGTATATGACCATGTCTTCATGGCCACCTAAATACACTGCCATTTGGGGACTAAAGAAGCCAACAGGTCATAGCAATTCATTGACAGATTCCCTTTCCTCCCTTGGAGACGTTGCTGCTTCTTTGCAGTGGCAAGATAGTACGAGTCCGGGTGGGAGAGGCAAGCCAAATAATTGTTAGCATTGCTGAGAAAATTGCAATGAAAGCAGTAAACCTCCTGGGTTGGCTTTTTATAGCTAGAAAACGGTGGTGAAATTTTTGTTCCAAGATGCTCAAAATCACCAGGATGCCGCATTTTATCTTGTTGGACTTCTAAAGTAATGCTGGTAACATCTATTGTGCAGGTATTTTAAGTGTTGAAATCTAGAATTGCCGATAGAAACGAGCCAGTTAAGAGGGAGGAAACAATTACTCAGTTGTGGTGAAAGTTAGACTATGTGGCATTTATAATACCGGTTTGGAGTTTGCTCATAAAAGAGAATGCCTAGCTGGGATTTATCTGGTGAAAATTAAACCATCAAACCAGCTCAAGTGACAAACAGTGGCCATCTGCCAAGTCAAAGCATAATCACCATTTGGAAGTGAGCGTCATCTGTGCCCCCGAGGCCACATGACAGTTTCTCCTGTGGAGAAGCAGCTCTCTGACTTCTGGCTTTCTTGCTGTTTTCGCAGAGCCTGAGCCCTCGTGAAGCCGGCAATGACAAGTCTGAATGGTCGCCATGCCGAGAAAACCATTGACATGCCAAAGCCATCAGCCCCCAGAGTGCACGTGCAGAGGTCCGTGTCCCGAGACACTATCGCCATTCACTTCTCGGCATCCGGGGAGGAGGAGGAGGAGGAAGAGGAGGAGTTCAGGGAGTACCTCGAGGAGGGGCTGGATGACCAAAGCATCGTAACGGGGCTCGAGGCCAAGGAAGACCTCTGTCTTGAACCCCAGGGGGGCTATGACTCCACCGGCCCTGCTGCCCAGCCCATCCTGGCAGGGGGACTGTCCGTGTCCCCTGCCATTTTGCCCGTCTCCGAGAACACTGTAAAGCTGTTGGAGTCCCCTCCTCCGGCAGTGCAAGTATTAAGTACAGTGCCATTGGCTCTGTCCCCAGGGTCATCTTCGTCCGGGCCCTTAGCTAGCTCTCCCAGCGTGTCGTCCCTTTCTGAGCAGAAAACCAGTTCTTCGTCCCCGTTGTCCTCTCCTTCCAAGTCTCCCATCCTGTCCTCCAGTGCCTCAGCCTCCACCCTCTCCAGTGCAAAACCCTTCATGAGCCTTGTGAAGTCCCTGTCGACCGAGGTGGAGCCAAAAGAACCCCCACACCCCTCGAGGCACAGGCACTTGATGAAGACATTAGTCAAGTCTCTGTCCACAGACACCTCCAGGCAGGAGTCAGATACTGTGTCCTATAAACCACCGGACTCCAAGCTCAATTTACAGCTGTTCAAGCAGTTCACACAGCCACGAAACACAGGTGGAGACTCCAAAACTGCGCCTTCTTCCCCACTGACTTCTCCCTCCGATACGCGCTCCTTTTTTAAAGTGCCCGAAATGGAGGCTAAAATCGAAGACACTAAGCGTCGCCTTTCAGAAGTCATATATGAGCCTTTTCAGCTCCTTAGTAAAATTATAGGGGAAGAAAGTGGCAGCCATAGGCCCAAAGCCTTATCTTCAAGTGCTTCAGAACTCTCCAATCTGTCCAGCTTGAACGGTCACTTGGAAAGCAATAACAACTACAGCATCAAGGAAGAGGAGTGTGACTCTGAGGGGGACGGCTACGGGAGTGACCCCAGCGTCCCCGGGGGTGACCCCCCCAGGTCCTCCGACGAGCCGCCCTCAAGAGAGGCGGAACCGAAGAGTTCCCAGGGCAGCGGTCTGAAGGACTTAGGCCTGAAGACGAGCTCGCTGGTTCTTGAGAAATGTTCCTTGTCTGCCTTGGTGAGCAAAGAAGATGAGGAGTTTTGCGAACTGTACACCGAGGACTTTGATTTGGACGCGGAGGTGGAGATCGCGCTGGACAAGCTCCCGGATATCCCTGTCAAGCCCGAGGTGCTGGCGGATGACGGTCCGACTCTGGACAGTGAGGACGAGGCCCACTCGGCCGTGCAGCACCCGGAGCTGCCGGTGAAGACGCTGGGCTTCTTTATCATGTGTGTCTATGGGTACCTCATCCTCCCCCTTCCCCATTATGTGAGCGGACTCTTTCTGGGAATTGGTCTTGGGTTCATGACTGCGGTTTGCATGATCTGGTTTTTTACACCACCAAGTGCTCATAAATATCACAGATTACATAAAAGCCTACAACACTGGAACACAAGATCCCTGGATATCAAAGAACCAGAAATACTAAAGGTAAGTCTCTCTGCAGCAGCTGGCTAGCGCCCCCCAACCGTTCTCTCCCAAACAGGCTGATTTTAGATCCAACTTAATCTTTTTAGTTGATGGTCATGGGTTTTCACATAAGCAGCATTTTTAAGGCTTCGGGATCTCTTCACTCCTAGGACACCCAAAAGATTTCTCTGGTAAACCTCATTCTAATTCAAGTTTCACCTGTTCACGGAGGAGTTTTTCAAAGCTCCTCCATGGTGCCAGCAAGTAGTATTTACGTCAAGTTTGTATCTCAGTCTCTCTCTCTCAACTTTCCAGGGATTTGTTTTTGCTGAGAATTTGTTATAGCTGAGCCTGTTAGGACTGCATGTTGTTGAGGCCCTGGAAGAGGGTTCAACACTCCTGGGGTCCCAGAGAAGGACAGGAGGGAGAGAAGGCAAATTGGTGTCAGTGGATGGTTACTGCTGGTACTGCTCTTTCCCGTGCACACAGTGAGGTTTGGGCTGGAGAGAGAGAGAGAGAGACATTACCTTACACTGCATGACAGTCTCAGGGTTTAGGCCTCCTCAGGGGGCTGAGATGATCCATTAGGGTGCAGGAAGAAAATAGTAGAACTTCCATTTGTATTTATTTGTACATATGTTAAAAGCTTCTGGGTTTTGTGTATGTGTCAAAATATATACAATATAAATGCACAGTTGTAACTTATATAGTTTGTAAGTCATAGGCACATATACATGTCGTGTGTGTATGTATATGCTTTTTAAATTGTGGTTAAATACAAATAACATACAATTTATCATCTGAACCATTTTTTAAGTTTATTTATTTTGAGAGAGAGCACGGGAGGGGCAGAGGAAGAGAGGAAGAGAGAGAGAATCTCAAGCAGGCTCTGTACTGACAGCGTGGAGCCAGATGCGGAGCTCGAACTCCCAGACCACAAATCATGACCTGAGCTGAAATCAAGAGTCAGATGCTTAACCGACTGAGCCACCCAGGTGCCCCACCATCTGAAGCGTTTCTGAGTGTACAGTCAGTGACTGTCTCATTCCGCAGATACTCTATACCTATTAAACAGTAACTCCTTACTCTTCTCCCGAGTATCTCATATAAGTAGAATCAGACAGTATTTGTCTTTTTGTGACTGGTTTGTTTCACTTAGCATAATCAGAATTAGTCCAAATTTCCTTTCTTTTCAGAGCTAAGTAATACTCTACAGTATATATATACTACATTTTCCTTATCCATTCATCTATCAGTGGACACGTGGGTTGCTTCCACATTTTAGTTATACTGAATAATGCTGCTATGAACATGGCTGCTATAGATAGCTCTTTGAGATCTTGTTTTCAATTCTTTTGGCACTATACCCAAAAGTGGGACTGCTGGCTCCTATGGTAATTCTATTTTTAATTTCTTTAGGAACTGCCATACTGTTCTGCACAGTGGCTGCACCATTTTACATTCTTGCCAGCAGAGACAAGAGTTTTAATTCCTCCGTATCCGCACCAACTCTTGTTTTCTGTTTTATTTTGTTTTGTTTTTATAGTTTTTTTTTTTTGGTAGTTCAAAGCTGATTTTATTTTCCTGTTAATAGATTTTTTCCTACTCTTTGTTTAAGTAAGAATGCCACAAAACAGCATCATCTCTTTTTATTGAAAAACAAGAACAAAAAACAAAAACAAAAAGCAAAAAATCAAAAGGAAGAATCCTAAGGGTCCAAAATACTGTTTGTTTTCTAGTTTCATAAACTTTTTACCTTATTCAGAAGAAATACGTGGTCAGTGTTTTAAAAACAGAAAACTGAAAGAAGAAAATTTTCTATCATGCTAGTGGGAAAGAATTGATGATTTTTATATATATCCTAGTTTTGTTCCTTTTTTAAATTCCTGCATATGTGAGTATGTACATACTTTTTGTTTTGATTTAGTGGAATCGTATATTTTGCAGCCTGACCTTTTTTCTTTTTTTGTTTATTACTTTTTTTAAATGTTTGTTTATTTTTGAGAGAGAGAAACAGATCGTGAGCAGGGGAGGGGCAGAAAGAGAGAGACAGAATCCAAAGCAGGCTCCAGGCTCTCAGGTGTCAGCACAGAGCCCGACACAGGGCTCAAACCCGTGAACCGTGAGATCATGACCTGAGCCAAAGTCAGACACTTAATCGACAGAGCCACCCAGGCACCCCTCACCTTTGTTCTTTCTTTCCCCATGGCAATATGTTACGGGACTTTGGTTTTTAAGAGAAACTGGTGTGGAGCCTTGAGGATATGACAAGCTTGGTGTTAATACATGAAGTAGGGTAAAAGTAACTCATCATGGTTGCTATGCTATATGTCCTCTAAGTAAGTTAGTATTTAGCAAAGCAAAATGCTACTTACATTTAACTCTGGCGCCTAATGATAGTGGCATTCAGTTTAAACTGGCGTGAGCATGTTATTGTTTTGGAAAGTTTTAATTTTAATCCATTCCATCTTCAGTGTTGAGTCCAGTCACTGCTATATGTCAAGAGTTTAGTAACTACACAGACCTTGCCAATGGAATAGGATTTTCATATTATGACACCATCTGGTTTCTTTGATCCAGTTGTGGAAAGAGTAAAGGCAGCACTGTGGTGTCGAGCACCTATACTGGGCTAGACGTTGGGTACATTCTCTCATTTAATCCTCATTACAACCCTTTTTAGTTAGGGAGTGCTTATGAGGAATGGAGGCACAGAAAGGTTAAGTTTCTTGCTCATGGTTACACAGCTTGTGAGTGGTGGAGCCAAGAAGAACTAATTATTTCCTTTAGGGAGGGTGTTTTGCCCTTGCTGCTGGAATAAATATATTTGAATCTTCCTGGTAAGAGAACAAGTCCTTAAGTGCTGTCTTGGACCTATAACCCAAGCAAATTACCTTGTGCTCTTTTATGAGCATTCTTTCTGATTGATGTTTGAACATGATTAATTGTTTTGGTAGTTCTTTTTCTTAGCCTTGTGATGGATGGCTTCCTTCTGTTGAGGAAAAGTACATTTCAGCCTGAGGTCTTTTGTTTAGTATGCAGGGCTGTGTTTAGAAACCTGGCTAAATACATTCTTTAGTTGAAAAAAGGGACACTACTACTGATTACGAGGGTAGGTTGTGTATTGTAAGCCAAAGATTTCAAATGCAAATGTTCTTTGGGCTTAATTAATTTTACTGATTTGGAGATCATATTCTTGGGGACCATTTTAAAAATATGACGCTTTAAAACATTTAGCAGGGTTGACATTAAATTTAGGACCCAAATGTTGTGATAAGAAAAGGAAAGTCTAGTGGAACCTAACTTTGAGCATCTATTTTGTTACATTTTCCCGTTGGACCTTGTGCTTTACTTTCTGTATGGGGTAGGATAACACTAGCTATTGTAACAAATTAGAAGTTTGTTTCTTGCCTGCACAACAGTCCAGTATTCCTGGTGAATGGGTCCCCATCCCCACATGTTAATTCAGGGGCCCACGTTTCTTCCATTGTGGCTCAGCAAACATTTTCTTAAATTAAGGCCAGATAGTAAATACCTCAGGCTTGTGGGTCATACAGTTTCTGTTGCAATCACTCAGCTCTGTATTATAGCAGGAAAACAGCCACAATGTGTAAATAAATGGGTGTGGCTGTGTTCCAATAAAACTTGATAGAAACAGACCTCGGGCTCAGTTTGTTGACCCCTGCCTGGGGTATTAGAGTTATTTGCATCCAGCTGGCAGAAGGAGAAAGAGAAAGGAATAGCCTATACCCGGAAGTGACACACATCACTTCTATTCACATCCCACTGTGAGCTAGTCATATGGGTCCTCCAAAGTGGAAGGGGGCCTCGGGAATCTAGGACTTGGCTTGTTCTTCCCAGCAACAGCCATACACTATAGCAAGGGGTGCCCAAAGTTTGAAGGCACAGTTAGCCTTCTCAGCCTCACTTTGTAAGTACTATGGTACTTACAAGTACCCTAGTTCTATGTATGTTTATCGTTCCTGTTCTCCAGTACACCATAAGCATCATGAATGCACAGGCCATACCCATCTTGTTCATCATTGTGTCCTCAGCACCTGGCACATACTGGGCACATGATAAGAGTATTTATTGGATGAATAGATGGGTAGGTGGGTGGATGGATAAGCGAGTGAGTAAACGAATGAGTTTGTATCAAGAAATGTAGGCAATGAATCAGGATTGACCTGATCATCTCCTAATGAAGGTGCTTTTTTAACGAAATTCCCTGATGGGGTGCCTGAGTGGCTTAGTCAGTTGAGTGCCCAACTTCGGCTCAGGTCATGATCTCATGGTTCGTGGGTTTGAGCCCCGCATCAGGCCCTGTGCTGACAGCTCAGAGCCTGGAGCCTGCTTCAGATTTTGTGTCTCCCTCTCTCTCTGCCCCTCCCCTGCTCACGCTCTGTCTCTCTTTCTCAAAAATAAATAAACATTAAAACAATTTTTAAAGAAATCCCTGATACTTTAAAAAAAATTTAGTCAGGCTGAAAGGGGTGGTCTTTTAAGAAGGTAAAAAATAATTACCAAAAAGTGTAGATCAGTGAGAGGTTTTTTTTCTCCCCACTGCAGTGGAAAAGCCAAGATGGCCCATCTTTGACAGGACTTGAAACTTGATGTTTACTGCTTAGAAATCATCTGGCAGCAAGTCTGCTTTTCTTTCACCTGCACTCATACAGCACTGGCCTCCTGAATTCAAAGGGAAAAAAGACTGCTGGCGTCTGCCAAGTATAGCATTAAAGAAATGGGGATGGTGGCAAGTTCTAGATCTCTGCTCTCTAAAGGTATAATTTTAAAAGTGATGCAGGAGATTGGCCTTGGTTCCTCTGTGAAACAGGTCTGTGAACCTATTCCCAGAGTAGAGTTGAAAGAGCCTTTTTTTAAAATATTTACAGCCAAGTTAGTTAGCAGATAGTGCAATAATGATTTCAGGAGTAGAATCCAGTGATTCATCCCCTACATATAACACCCAGTGCTCATCCCAGCAGGTGTCCTCCTTACTGCCCTTTGCCCATTTAACCCATCCC